CCTCCCTCTGTGGGGCAGAAGGAAGAACATGGAGCCATGGAACATGTAGGATAGCATGGTGGGCACGCTATGCGAGGAATGCGAGGCTCATGTTGGAACTAGAACTCCTGAAAGGCCCTGTTCTTTCCATGCTTCTGAGACAGCTCAGACCCCACTTTGGCGTGGCGCCCAACGCCCAGCCCCATTCATATCTGCCTCTTGATCAATGTGCCTTCTTGTGCCTTCAAGCTCTTGTTTTCAGGAACATGAGTCACCAGCACCATGCGCTCAACAAGAGCTCCTGAGCTTCTCTGGGGCCGCTGCAGAGCGACCACGCAAACGCAAAGCATGACTGCGCCCATTCTTAACACGTCGATATCTGCATCTCCTGCTGGATTGCATGCGTAGCACTTGGGATGTCGGCGGTAGATGATTTCCGAACCACTAAGCTAAGAATCTTAATCCTCTGACGCCCTTGTAAATAGTACATATGAAGCAAATTATGGAATAGTTAGTTATATAGCTGTGAATGTTAGGAGAGTGTAAAACATGAATTACCAGCCTCAAAACTGGTGAGAGAAAGAAATGTTTTCTTTCGGGTGTTTTATTGATGGTTCATAAGACACTCAGAAAACACAGCTGCAAGGAGAATTTGACAAATTTTTGTTTGCCGACTTCTCCGAGCTGAATAGTGGCATCAATAAACCAAAAAAGGAGGACAGAACAGAATATTTGATCATGACTTCAGTCAGAAATCCTCTAATTTCTTCACATTCTTATTTTCTTCTCATGTGTTATGCAGCATATTGTCTGATTTATTTTTCCTCCACTGTTTAAGCACAAGACTTGCATTTTTAAGTATTTACTTCTGATTATATAATCCATGTTTTCCTTCCAATAGATTTTATTCATATTTTTGTGTTTTATCACAGCGTTGATCTTAATTTCATAACGTGGCCAGGCTTCCTTCTCTTTTATATATAGCAAAATTTAATATCTGGCTGTAAGGAAGAATGGCATTGCTTGGGGAAACCAACAAATAAAAAAAAAATAACCTAAGATTTTCAAAGCAGTTTAAGTTAAATAGTAAAATTACCTTTGAAAAACAAATTTTATTAAAAGCAGTGGAATCCATATTTACCAGTGAAAGACAGACTAAATAGATGTGTCTTTAATATATTTTGTTGCTACTTTCATTATAATTTTAGCACAATGTCCTACATGAAAGCACATATTTTAGAGAAAACAACATAACAGAATAATTTTGCCTAATTTTAACCAATTTGTTTCAAGGACATTTGAGATTCATTACATTTGTTGGTGCATTTCAGACTTTTAAGTAAACTGCCCATCAAACTGTTGCCCATCTACGTTTAGATTGATACAAATGAGATAAAGAGCACAACTGCTACAAAATTGGTATGTAATAGTAGGATATGCCTTTATTATGAATATTATGTGCAAATTCATCAGAGTTGATCTGTTGCTTTTTGTCTTACGATAGCGTAGTGTTTTGAAAACGCTTGTTGACAGAGTCCAGAATTATAAAAATGGATCCGATTTTTCAGGAAAATCAAGTTCTCCCACATCATTGAAGTATTTTTTGCTTCTGATTCGCTCCCATTGAGAAAAGTTTGTGTAGACAGATTTCATTTTTCTAACACCTCCTCTGCAGCCCTGACTTATGACCAAAACAACCCATAGGGGCTTGTTAGAGACATGTTTGGTTTGGCAGCAACGACCCAAACATTTAGCTGAATAGATGGTAGGATCAGTGGCACATGTGTGCTAATTACACCATTAGGGACGTTTAATGGCCCTATTAGTGTGATTGTTCTGGTTACAATTTTTAAGTTACTTCCAGCCATTTCCAGAACTGAAGAAGTTTTTTGGATGAGAGGCAAAGTATCTTCAAGAAACAAGAGAAAAAGTTTTGTTGCCTTCCACTTAAGCACTTAGGATTTCCATACTAATAATAAAAACCATACATCCTACATAAAACTTATCAGGGGGAAAGAAAACAAGGAAAACCAAACTGATTCACCAAGCAGCAACTTTACATTGGTGCAGCTTCTCATTCGTCCAGGACATGACTATCCTAATTGCTTAAATGAAAAGCAACTGGACTTCTCTTGTTTCTTAATGATGTTCCACCTCGTAACCGAAAGGCTTTTTCAGTTCAGTTTTTGTTCGGGAGAATCAGATATGATTTGTAGTCAGCACAATCACACTAATAGGGCTGTGAATGTCTCGTAATTGGGTAACCTTACCCTCCATTTGTATTTAGAAAGAATGCCATAGATTGATGTGGGTATGAGAAAATGTCATGGAAGTTTGCAAAGAAGACATCTTGATTTACACTACGGACGCACAAAGAATTATTGTGCTGCTCTTTGACTTTCTAAACCTTACTTACCCTAATATTTTTCCCCTTTCCTTGTTTTCCATCATCTTATTATATTAAATTGATGGTCTCATTACAATACATGTTCCTCATATCAAAATTCGAGCTTTTCAGTTTGAGTTACTTACGTACTTCGATGCTGTGCAGACATATTATTCGGCATGCATTTGATAATAAAAGATTTATGTATGTGTTTATGGGAGGCTACAAATCTGACTTGGACTTTGGGCAAAAGTCTTGATTCTCCAATTGGACTTTGGATAAATGACTTGTGAACATTTCTGGTGCAATATCAGTTCACCCAACAAAACAGTTGTGGACTGACAAACGGCGATGTGCCTACTTAAGTGTCAATGTTATCTGACAAATTACAGCAGCTGGCAAGTTTCTCTCTCTGTTAAATTATTCAGTGGCACTGTGCTGTTTAGGGTCTGTTCACTCGTACAGGTTTACCTTTAATTAAAATTAACTATGAGGTAACTAGTCTCTCAAATGAGCAATTTTTTGCAACAAGATACAATTTAAGGTTGTTACATTCTGTTCTACTTTTTTTCCAATGTACAACTGATGTAAACTACTACAGTGTGGAAAAGGTTCAGAAACCACAGGTTCTATCATATTCACTTGTGTTTGCAATACAAAATCAACTGGTATTATTTAATTTTAATTTCTTTGCAATTCCAGCATGTCCCAAAGCAGAGGTTGATTGTTCAAAAGAGCAGAAAGCACATTTGCTATGCTTTGTCTAGTCTTCCTGTTATCTGCAGAAAATCTTGCTCTCTCTTGTTTCCAGCCTGAGTGAACTGCAGTAACTAGTTTAAAAAAACACTTTTGAATAATATCTTATATCCCTGAGCTTCACTTGACTTTATTTCTAAAAACTATTATTATCTGCTCTGTCACTATATTTTGCTATTCTGAAAACAGCCAACTTTGAGTTTAACAAGTCCAATACTTGTTATTCTGAGTAGGACTGGGAGATTTTTTCTTTGTTTTGAAGTTTTAATTTTTGGAAAATTTGGATTTCTATTCATCAATGCACCCATTGGGTTTCCATAGTACAGAGTGATGTTAGTCATCTCAAGAGCGACCATCCTGCTTGAGAAGTTTGTTTACAGCTTCTTGTTTTTCCTCCAACTGATAAACTCAAAGAAGGATAGATTGAAATGAAAGCAATTTTTAAAAAATATTTTCTGTCATTTGTAATTTTTCTATAAGTAAAAATCACAAATGACTTATCACCCAGCTAAAGAGTGTTGTCAATGCTGCCTGGTTGTTCATATATCAAAATCTGTGTTCACTGATTGGAGAAAAAAAAAAAAAAAATTTCCAGTTTCCGACTGGCTGCTCACCGGTCAAGGCTTCTCAGGCTAAAACTTGTACAATTTTGGCTCCATTATAATGGAAACTAATATCTCCTATCTCCCACTGTCCAGCTCTATCGCTTCCTCTTCCCGTCTCGCTCCGTGTGTCCTGTCCAAACACACACTGCTGTGCGGTATTCCGCACCTCCATGGGAGAAAACAATGGGGGTAATTTGCGGTCATGAATGGTGCTGTATCTAGAGCACTTGGCAGTCTGGTTCCTGTGTGGGTCTCACCGAACAGTAAGGCCTTTGGAGCGGACATCAGCTGTAGGACGGCAGAGGATATTTAGCTGGATGAGAGGAGAGGTTACAGTCAAAGCTGTGGTTTGAGGCAGGAGGATTAGATGAATGAGACTGAGAGAGATGTTTGTTATTTGAAGCTTGGTAGAATAAAATGTTTAGCAATGAGGCTTTTAAGGGTTAAGCAGAATTGGGCAAGTAGACTTGTTTGATTCTAGGTAATACCTAAAGATGAACAGAGGATTAGGCATGTAAGAAAAGGAAGTTTGTGTTTTGCAAGTAAAGATCTGTTTTTGATACCTTGGATTAAGAAAATTATACGAGTGCTTACACTGCACACACTGAGCAGCTTTATTGAGGATACAGTCTTTGGAGTACTATTTGTTGACATCATGAAGTAGGAAACAGATTTAGTTGTCAGCTCATTCGTGATCTGGGCTTGGAGCGGTGGTACTCGGAGGGGTTAGCAGCTGAATAAATGAAGACATGGGACAAATAGCAGTGTGTCGCTTTCAAGGTGAGTGGAAAATAAACATGTTCAGTCAAGCTGACTGATGTAGACTGTGATGCTTTGGAAGGAAGGAAATGCAGATGCTTTCTCCTGGCATACCTTCTTGTTTTCATGGTTGTCAGTTCGAATACCAAAGAGCCATAAGATGCTAACATTGCAAACGAGGTGGAATATTTTGTTTCTGTGAGGCAGATTCATTTGTTTATGAATCATTTGGCTGTCATGATGGAGTCAGAAGCACCGAGAGAGGGGAAGGGTGAGGAAAGCTCTTCATCCTGTCAGGGCTGTCATGATAAGAAGTGATGATGAGGAGCAGGGGAGACTTAAGGGAAAAAGAAACGCACACACACGCACACACATGCACACACATGCACACACATGCACAAGGCTGGAAAGGTTTCTGGTGAGCTCAGGTGAAATAACAAACTTTGTACCAAAAACACTTATTGTCTTTTTCTGTACCCTCTTTCCCCCCGTCCCTTTCTCTGTCGTTTTTCCAGAGTTGCTGGGCTCCAACAAGAGACTCAACATCAATTACCAGGACTCAGACGGGTGAGAGAAAAGTTCCATTTGTTATGTAGATAAGGCAGCCGAAAGAAAAAAAAAAATACTATTCTACATGTGACCGCCTGCAGTTTGTTTGCATCCTTCAATCCGTGACTCACGAAGCGCACACAAGTACTGACATAGATTGCTGCTCGGAGTCATTACTGTAACCCCAGGGCAGGAAATTACTAGGTACTGACTTTTGTGTGGCTCACCACATCTGTCAAATATTTAGAGGTGACGAAAATGTACTGTTTCTGGTCCTACATAAGATACAGTAAGTGGAAAGTTGCATTAAGTTGTAAATGAAGAGAAGCTGAGCAAGAAGTTTATAGAAAAACAGTCGGCTGGTTAAGGTAACTTCACAAAGGGCATCCACAGTCTGGAACTGCAATTTGTCTTCAATATGGCCGTAAACCACTAAAGTGTTGATTAATGTGCACTATTTTAATAAGATACCCTAACCCTGTCCAGTGGGGTGTTCTTTTCATTATACTGGCCTTCAGGGTGGTTAAGGTTGATTTTTTTCCTCATAAGAATTAAACTTTTCAGTGTTATTACTCCCTACTAAGTTGAAATTAGCAGGTTTCTGCCATTGAATGAAACATGTCCTGTGAAGATTTTCTTTGTTCTCTAAGCCTCTCTCTCGCAGAAGTGCTTCGGTTCTGCAGTCAGCATCATTGAGATCCGCATGCGTCGGATGTTGGACCCTCACTCTCCATGCAAAGTTTCTCTTGGTCTAATATTTGACGTTATTCGTCTCAAACCCTCCTCAAGATCTTTTCAGAAATTGAAATGTCTGTCTTACCGTGGACAGCCGTTGCAGAGACGGAGCACAACAGTTTTGCTTGTTCAGTCCAGCAAACCTGAAAAGACAGAAAGCCTTTATGCCTTTGCCATCAGTGAGTGATCACAATGTGAAAGCCTGACAGAAAAGGTTTTTATTTATTTATTTCAAATTTATTGGAGCCGAGAAAAGACATAAAAAGATGTCACATTTACAAGAAACTGTTGTTCTGTCTATAGGCCTTTCAACCAAGGATTAATTCACAGACTCAATAACTGCTTAGGCTTTCAGAAGTCAACCTCTAAAACTAGAAATGATACAAATAATAAATTTTATGCACAGGTTTTGACTTTCTATTGCTCTTGCTCTTGCTTCTATTTCCTCTGTTAATATTCTTAAATCCTGGTTTCCGTCCACCAGCATGAATGTCAATCATTGTAACTTCCTCTCCTCTCTTTAAATATCATTATTCGCCCTGAATGCACTGAGTGTCCTGATCCCGAGTATTAATTCTGTTTTACAAATTCAGGATGGTTCCTCAGGGACTAGACAGGAACCTTCACCAAACTTACCAACACGGCTCTGTTGGAAAGTGGTAGTTTTATGAGTGCTAATGCATTCAGAGCGGATCCGGCGCTGCTTGTTTTTACACAATAGTATTTTTGGACACATATCTTTGAATTTCAGCTCTCTTAGTAAGAAATAAGAACATTGTGTTGAAGAAAGTTATGTAATAAACACAATCCATCTCAAATGCAAGCTGTGGTTGATTGTTTTGGATTTTGTACAATGTAACTATGTTGACTGATAACTTCTGCGTGTGTCTGCATGCAGTGTGCCATCTCGTGTAGCGTGTGGGAGGTGGCACACAATGGGAGGTGTTGACATCAAGCTGTCCATCAGCGAAGGAACTGCTATGTGGTTGGGTGGTAGGCAGGAAGGAAGGGACTACCTGTGAAAGATGAGCTCATTGGTAAGGCGAGAAGAGGATTGTGAAGCGTGAGTAAACAGCTGGCTGTCACTAAGTCAACACTGTCGCGCTGACCCGTATTGAGCTCATGTCAGTGAGAAGTTTCAGTAACAGGTGGTGAGATGTGGCTGACATGTATTTGAGAGAAGAGAGAAAGCAGGAAAAGTAAGCACTAAAAGCATCAGATCCTCAACTTTCATGGAGATTGAAGTTTTATCTGTCTGAAACCAATTGAGGGTTTCCTTGGCTGTGTGTTTGGGATCAGTGGCCCACTGAAAAATCTATTTTATGCTATTTTTCTGCAGTGTGCCAGAGCCAAAGCCTTAAATAGTCGTTTACTGTGAAGGTCCTGGTTCTTTGAGAGTCATGAGCAGTTCCGATTCTGCTGTATAATGTATGCAATGACATCCAAACAGTTAAAAATTTGTGAAACATAGAATGTTTCACAAATTTTTAACTCCTATGTTTCACAAGCTTCAACATGTCTTTTCCTTCAGCAGTGAAGTTTTGTGCAGAAAGTGAGCACAAAGCGCAGGACTTCTTTTCACTGAAAATCTAACCGCTAGTTCTGTGTATTTTTGAGGATCTTTGTGAGTGGTTCTTGGTTCTAGAGGAAAAAAAATGCTGAGAAATCTCAAGTGATTTACACAGCCTCACGGAGGCTGAAAGGCACAATAGATTATAGATAAATTTTAGTAGACTGATGGTCTAATTCTGTTTAATTTCTTAGACGTAACTTCATTTGTCATGAATTCTGTTGTAACAAACATCTGGAGAGAATCTTTTATCAAAAGCCCCACTGGAAATATAATTATCAAGACAATGTTGATGTTTTACTTGCTTTCTCACGCTGCAAGTGAAAGTGAGTGAGACTCATCCATGCAGCCGGTTTGCTGGAGACATGTAACAATGTATCCTAACAGCCTATTAGATCAACAGAGTATCAGAATCTGTAGCTTGTTCAGTTCAGCTCAACATCAGAAAGACTAAAAAAGAGGAAGTGTTCATGGATAAAAGAAACTTGCAAATGGTGAACCTTGACGGCTTTCATATGTAATGAAACCAGTTTTACTTTTGGAGCTGAATGATGGGGTGCAGTTGCAACAAGTAGATTCTAAGTTTAAATCTTGGGCCTTTTTGGGAAGCAATTGTCTCTGAAAGAACTTTTGCCTTGCAGCTTCATAAAGTTTTAGCCAAAATAATGGTAAAGCACAAATTTCTCTTCTGTTGGACCTCTGCTAAAGATGGGGATGCACTCTTGGAAGACACATTCTTCAAAACTGCCTCTGCATTTAGATGCATTCAGTGTAATTTACAAATCCTCTCATCTCCTCTTTCTCTCCTCCTTCTGTATTTTTTTTTTTTTACCCACAGCTTCTCTGCGCTGCACCATGCTGCTCTGACGGGCACCACCGAGCTGCTGTCACTGCTGTTGGACTCCCACGCCACGGTGGACATCAAGGACATCAACGGTATGAAAACAACAGAACAACCTCACCGGCCAACAAGCCACCGATTTTGGAGAGACATCCGTTTAAATACATAAAGTTCAGTTTCTCAAAGTCAGAGGGGGATTCAACTGAGCCTTAAACTTCTTCATCAGTTCTGAGGCTCTGCTGAAAGTGTGTTTAACTAAAATGAAAAAAAAAAAAAAATCTTATTCGCTTTGAAGTTTGCGTCCTACAAAGTGACAGCAGAACCACGGTAAGTATTCTCTCACTTCCAAGAAGAAGCGATACAGTGGAATTTAGAGCTGCAGCCCTGAAGCATGTAAAGCTCATGAGAACGAGCGTGTCGCCTCCCAGGTCAGCTCTATATTCCTGAAGAACTTTGTGAAATGTTCAATTTAACTTCAAACGCTTGCAGTGTTGGGCGTCCTGAATGGAATTAAAATTCAATACATGGAAGCCCGCCTGCGATCAAAAGTGAGGCCCTACGACAAAGAGTTACAGGTTGAGACTCTGTTCCAAAGATGGCTTAATTTGCAAATGTTGATGTTCAAATCCTCCTTTTATGGTCTGCTTTCACGAATAGAATGATCAGGTATTTATTGCAGATCCAACATCTTAGAAGGTGGAGCCAGGCACGGTGATCAGAATTTGTGTTAAACTTGCGAAGAAACGGACGCCGTTTCCTCTGAATCTAAAGAGAAAAAGAGTGGTCCAGATATCCAAGAAGCCATATAGCGTCATTTGTATGCGTTTCTCTGTGATCTTGATAAAACTCAAGTTGATGCAAAAAGAGAAGAATATAGAGCAACACGTTCTACCTTAGAGATCACATATTTTGCAGAAGGAGCCGTACATTTCTCCCAAATTACTGTGTCCTTCTAGCTGTAAGGTATAAGAATGATTTATGGCTTTTAGAAACAGAACTGGATTCATCTATTCTAAACAAATAAAATGGTGCTAAAGGCATAAAATACTTTCAGTTTTCATACATTCCATAGTCCATATTAGAATTCTCAAATTTTGTAGCTAAAAACAACTTTTTAAAATGACATTAGTCGCTTTCCTCATCTTAGCTCGCCGCTGTCGTCCGCAGGCATGCGTCCTCTCCACTATGCGGCATGGCAGGGAAAATCCGACTCTGTTTTACTGCTACTGAGAGGGGCGGCTTCAGTCAACGCTCCTTCCCATGACGGACAGATACCTTTACATCTCTCTGCGCAGTACGGACATTACGAGGTGGTGAGTTCAAAAGATGCACACACACACAAACACACACACACACACACACACGCTGGTTGAAGGCATTACCAGTCATCCCATTTCGCTGAAACTTAAACCCATTGTGTCTTCAGCTGTTATTGTTCAACAACAATGCTAGTAATTCCATTGTTGCACACAATGACTGCACACATTTCTCTCTTTCTGTGACATATGTTTTCCTCCTACAACGCACACACAGACACATGACTTCATATTTCTAGCCCTTATTGTATTAACTTCTTTTCGCCTCTACACCAAAGTTGTCGACTTTCCTTCAATTTTTGATTCTTGTTTTTTTTTCCATTGTACTTTTTTCATTATTTTTTCACTTTTATGAACACTCGGCACATGTATCTATTTCCTGTTGGGTTATTCTAAACTATAAGGCCTTGGAAAGTAACCTGTATGTTCCATACCTTTCCAGACAAAAGACCAAATATGACAAATATGATTACAGACCTTTTGTATATCTTTAGGCAATACTTTTAAGTATTTTATTCCTAAAATATTTTTGTAATCCTTTTTAATCCTATTCTTCTAAATTTTAGTATCTTTTATCTTCATTTCTATCTAATATTCTTCATTCTGATTAATTGGATTGTTGATTTACTTGAAATGCTCTATATATTTTTGCATCTTTATCAGGTCAAATTTTGATAGTATCTACTTGTTTATTTTTTTAATCCTTACCCTTGTTGCTCATCTTTAATTTCTCAGCTTTTTACATTTATTTGTGTGGCACCCTGGGACCACATCCCAACAAGACCTTTCAAACCAAATAAAATGATTATCTGCTTTCCATTCTGCTAAAATTAATAGACGTACAGTGCAGTACCAGGACGCATCAAAAACTTGATTCACATATTAGCTTTTATACTCATCCCTTACTTAAAAACAATATTCCACCTTTATTAGGAACAGGTGTTGGTTCTCATGAGGAAAAGTCCAATGAAGGCAAGTGATTGTACCAGAAAGGTTCAAAGAGGTAACTCAGACCACATGTGCAAACACTCGTCCACCTGTAACTCAACCCCCTTTGAGATACGACCTCGTTAGTAGAGCAGCATTTCCCACAAAGCTGACAATCCATCTCAGGATCCACACAGCAGCTATCATATGTTCCTCCCCTCTTGGTGGAAGGCGAAGCAGAGAAACACATGGAGAGGACGACTGGTGTGTGTGAGTGCTGGTGTATTATACACGAGGCCCTGTACTGCTCACCGTGTGTTGCACTCTCTCCCTTTTGCTCTCAGTCTGAGATGCTGCTGCAGCACCAGTCGAATCCCTGCCTCATGAACAAGGCGAAGAAGACTCCTCTGGATTTGGCCTGCGAGTTTGGCCGACTCAAGGTACCGGACTATTTTTGTCGTTTTCCTTATCTGACACGGACGACTATTTTGGTTGTTGGATTAAAACGGATCTCTTCACTTGGTGATAATGTCACAGATTGACATCAAGTTGGTTTCCATGCCAGTTCTATTGGAAATACAATTATAGCCCTTTGCATCATCACGTTTCTTGACCTCATATGAAAAGATTTAGACTCTTAATCCAGTTATCTTCTTGTGAAAACACTCTTTTATGAATGAGGGCGCCTTATGTCTAGCATGAACCAGAGGTTAGAATGAAGTGACTCTGGTCAGCTAAGCCTGTTTGAGTCAAAGGACCTAAGTGGCTCTTTTAGACATTGTAATGCTCAGAAAGTTGCACTTTGGGGCATAATTTACTGTTTCTCTGCCACATCCGCCATATATAAACCAGCCTGTGAGATGTTTAGCTTGCACTAAAAGTCAAAATTAGACACACGTTTTATGCCTGTTAATGCTCTCTCAACTCGTCTACGTTTGCAGCTAAGCTGTGAAAGAAAAGAGAGCTTTGGGCTGTTTTTACCACATACATTCCATCTTATGACAGCAGCTGGGCAGTGGATAAGCCCAAATGTGGAAGTTAATCTCTTTCTATATAAGTTGTCATTTACAGTGATGTACATGGAGGACGCATGGTTTTTCATATATACATCATTTATGCATCCCTTATGTTATAATTCCTTTCCTAAACCTGCCGGTAAGAACATCATCTTTGGACTGACTTCTCTTTAGGTGGCTCAGCTGCTGCTCAGCAGTAACATGGTGTCAGGACTCTTAGAAGGAGAGAGAGGGAACGACACTCTGGATTCCCCCTCCACCACTCCTCTCCACCTGGCTGCCAGGAACGGACACAAAGACGTAATCAAGTGAGAAAACCACATTTCCTATAACATCTTGGTCCTTGGCAGAGTCGAGGGGGCCTGGTGTCTTTCACTTGGTGGTCTTCAGGCAAGAGTCAGGGTACACCCTTCAATTTATAGCGGTCAATTTTAACCATCCCACCCAGTGAACCAATGTGCATGCACTATTGTGTGGCCCATAACTCAGGGATGTTCTCTGTTTTGTGTTTCTGCTTGGGTCATAAATATATGGACCTAAAGGCAACTTTAGGGTGCATTCACACCAACCCTGTTTAGTCCACTTTAATCTAACTTAAGTCCTTTTGTCAAGAAAGTCTCTTTCAGCAAGTTTTTACTTGCACTTTTGTGACCTTGACATTTAACATGCCAGTTTGTGTCTCATTCATTTTTTGGATAAGAGGCAAAATGTCTTCAAGCAACAAGAGAAAAAAAATCTGGTTCCTTCAACTGAAGCACTTAGGATTGGAATGGCCTGATTTACTGAAAATACACACCAGTTTTTAATTTTTGCACTCCAACAAGATTGAGCAAGCATTTGCCGGAATGACAGAGTTGTTTTTTATTGTACCTTGTAAATCAGTGAGAATGTTTGTGCAGTGAGGGTGAGGGGTGTTTACTTGTGTAGTGGGTGATGTCCTCATCTGCTTTAGATTCTTGCCCAGATCTAATATACAATGTAAATCAGTGATTTCTGACATTAATTGCAGTTAACGTTCAGATTATTGGACTGCATGCAGTTTGATTTAGGATCCTTCAAATCTTGTTACTGCATGGTACACTGTGGGGAGTGATTATCTCCATGAGTTATAACTATTTTTATCTGGGCTCTATGAAAAGCCAACTGTAAAGTGCAGTCCTTCATCCTTGAAGTGCGTAAGCTTTTTAACTTTTTTTTTTCTGCATTCTCTATCATTTCACTGTTTATGCATCGACTAAGCATTCTGTGTTTGAAAGCAGGGTGCCAGCCTTACACAATATACAACCCAGGAGTCTGTTTTGTTGTTTATAATTGCGTTCACTAGCAAGATTATGGTTGTTCTTGTTTTTTTTTTTGGGAGCAAATACCAACTCTAGTTTATGCTTAGGGTCAGTGGGTCTTGGGGTGCCACAGACCCACTGACCCACAGAGTTCAGTCTTGGCCGACTCCACATTTTGATTGGTGTGTGGCTTGAGGCGTCCTTTTACTTCTGATGGGGAGTTGCCTCATGGGAGTCCTTGGTTCAGCAGGTGAACTGGTGACGGAGGTGGTTAATAGGAGGTACAGGTGGGGTAGAATAGGGTTTAAGTTTAGGAGGAGTTGAGGGGTTTGGGAAGCTTTTTCAGCCTCCTCTGTTACCCTGAAATGAATTGACTGCATGCAAAAACATGAACGAGTTTAAGAGTAAATAAAGATTTGGATCATTTCTTCATGGCAGTCTGATGTAACCTCATACCAAATCTAAAGCTGCACACCCTCATGTTCTGTTTTTCTCAGCTGACTTTACACTTTCTTTTTTTAAACTTATGCTTGTTTGTGTGTAAATATGCAGAATATGTATCCAGTTTGCCAAGTAACCCCACCCTGTCTGTTAGACACTCTGCTGATGGCTTTCATCCTTCTTAAATAAGCAAATGTTTTTGCAACACCATCTCCACTCTGACTCTCCTGAGAAGGAAAGTTCAGAAGCTGGGAATGCAAACAGAAAACTATCCAGCACATAGGTTGAGAAATCACTTACTTGAGGACAGATAGAAATTCCTAATTATGGCTTCGCCACATTGACGATCTCTTTGCATCACCTAATTGTTGTCAGCTTTCTATCTGGTTAGAACCTAAGCTGAAAGTGGAACTCCTTTAAAGATACATAGTGATGTATTTCAAATGTTTATTTCTGTTAGTTTTGATGATTGTGGTTTACAATTAGTACAGTTTTTTCAGTCAACATTACTGTATTACAGAAGCTGCCTTAGATATGGTACAAAGTGCCGTATTCACTGCAAAGTTAAGTGGTAATGTAGAAAAAGACAGCCAAGAAAAAAGGGATGGCCACAGTTTTGAGAGGCTTGTGAAGAAAAACTCACGCATCTTTTCCACAGGTGCAACTTAAACATATGTACCATTGTCTGTAATTGTAAAGACAGTTCAAGGGCTGTAAATAAGATAATACATCTGACAGACAAGCTTAGTCAGCAGAACAAGACATGTAGCTAATATATGATAAAAAGAGATTTTTTTCAAATTTGTGTTCAGCACAAGATAAGGTCAGTCTGATCTCTATTTTCACTTGGTGGATCACTTCCTTAATCTAGTCTGTATGAGAAGGTGGAGCTGAAGACTTGCACTAACAAAATCAGCCTCCTGGCCAACAGAGTTAAGAATGCTGTAAAGTCTTTATGAGCCACAGACAGATTAAGCACAGCTGATGGTACCGCAAATAATTCAGAGCATTTGAAATAATTTTTTCCCAGTTACAGTGGACAGGGTGTACATGGCACAGTATGGTATCCTGAGGTTAAACATAAAATCCTTTAGCAAAACTTTAAAACATGCCTCATCCTCCTTCTGCATCTCTACCACCAGAACACCTACATTTGGATGTGAATGCAATGCTGTAAATGCCTGCAGCAGTCAAATGAATGATGTTCGCCTGCAGTCACTGTGAGCAGTGACCGTTTCTGATTTTGTTTCCCAGGTTGCTGCTTAAAGCCGGCATCGACATCAACAGAGCCACCAAAGCAGGGACCGCTCTCCATGAGGCCGCCCTCTACGGCAAGACGGAAGTAGTGCGGCTGCTGCTCGATGTAATGACTGTTAGAAGTCTCTGTCCACTTAACTTTATGATTTGAAGAGGTAGACCGTTTGTTGCTCAGGAATAAAGTGGGTCTGACTTTTTGTTTGTCCGCAGGCAGGGATCAACGTGAACCTGCGCAACACGTACAACCAGACAGCTCTGGATATCGTCAACCAGTTCACCACTTCCACCGCCAGCAGAGACATCAAGCAGCTGCTTAGAGGTTTGTTTCTGCAAGTTCAACCTCCTGAGATGTCGCGCAGGGGGAATCACTCTAGTTCTGGTCCTTGCAGAAGCGTCCAGTTCCCTCCAAGTCAGAGCAGTGAAGGACTACTGGAATCTCCACGACCCCACTGCCCTCAACCTGCGTGCTGGGGATCTTATTATGGTAACTTTTTTTTGCATGTCTTCTTGTTGTGAAAACTGTCTCTGCGTATTCGTCGCCTTGCAGCAATTTGCTTTCCCACGGCGGGTTAAAGCCGTAGCATGTTATTACATCATATTTGGGATACTTGCTGTGTTTTTATGACCACCAGGGTGGGGCCAAAGTTGAATGTAAAAATAATTCTGTTGACTTTTTAACTTCCTCATCCCTCAGTATTAGACTTTAGGTTCATCGCAGCTCAAACTACCTACATACGAGTGGTAGCAGAAAGTCATAGCTAAAAGTTTAGACACTGATAATAAGGCTTCAATTTTTTTTGTAAACTTGTTTTTTCATTATTGTGCATTGTGATCAGATACATATTAATACACTTAAAAAACTTTCTATTTTCAATGGTTACCTCCAAAGAAGAGCATGCAGGAGTCATCACTTTTTCCAAACCCATACCTCTTAGGAATATTGCAACTGAAGGAACTTTTTTTTTTTTACTAATCAGGAGCTATGACATTCCAGGAGGAGCCAAGAGCATATTTCCCTCAAGAATGTTCCTCCAGAATAATGTTACTATAACTGCAGAGCTTTGTCAGCATCAACATAAAGTTGTAGACAAGAGGAGCGGCACATAAATCACTTATGTCCAAGAAAAAAAAGAAACTGAAATTTTGCAGGGAGTAAAAAGATGCTAGTTTCTTTCAGAAATGTTCCTTATTACTTTGTGAAATGATTTTTCCTGAGAAAACAAACGAGAATGCGTGGTATCACAAGTCCTGACTAGTTTTTATAGGGAAGCGTTTTGATTCAACCTATGCGTCAGTGAGAGATCTGGAAAATTGTACATTTAGAAGCAAAGGAGTGGCAAGAGGTTGTCAAAATCTATCGTATGTAAATCAAGTCAACGAAATATCCACAAAAATACTAAAAAAATATATTTGTTGTGTCGCAGTCTTTTCTTAAAAAAACGACAAAAATAGACCTGAAGTTAGTTTTAACAAAAAAGCACCTGGAGAAACAAGCCAACAAACTGGAATCAACTCTGAGAACTAAAGAAGAAAAGAATGAGTCAACATCAGTCAGGATCTGGTCCAGATGTTGAGATCCAACATTATGGAAAATAATGGATGACAATGTAATAAATAGGATAGTAAAGTCATGAAATTGGTTTAATTGCTCTTAAGTGTACAAGAGAAACACAAAATAACTCAAATTGATGAAGCCACATAACAGTGTTTGTGTCTCTGCCAAAACCTCCAGGCTCGTCTGCAGTCAGGAGAAACTTGTGCCTGACAAATCAGAATCCAGTAATTACAGAAGCAGTACTTTAAATACTAACGCTGAGTTATCTATGAACTTTCCTTTCTAACTCTGGACCATTCTAGACTTTTTTTCTCCTGCTGCTCTGCTCTGCGTTCTTGTAATCGGGGGTTGAAAGCCCGTGTTAGAACAGTTGTGTTGTTGGGCTTTGTGTGGGATGTTTTGGGTTGATTAAGTGAACTTTGAACAGGAGACCACAACAGACAGATGGGCTCAAACATGTCTAATTACCAGCTTGTTTCCCCCCCAACAACACCTCCTACCAGGCCCCCACCTATATACAAAGACACACACTCTTAACTCATGCATATGTGTGTTTATCTGTTCACGTTCTGCGTATTTCGATGCTCTCCTCCCCCAGTCGTGTTTGAACTCGACTGCAGCCGCGGACTGCCATGTAGGTTTGTTTTTGTTCCTTCCAGGTATGCTGTTGGCACTCTTGATGAATAGATTGCGTTTTCGCCAGCTGACCGGCTTTCTCTTATTATCGCCTTAAGTGCCTTAATGGAACAGTCAGATGTTAATTCAAGCTGATGCAGTGCTGGCAACACATTGAATTTCTTTGCCGCTTTAATCAATCAAGACGGGATATTTTGGCTCGTTCTTCTGTAATTTCTTTGTGAGTGGCTGTGTGACTAATGGCTGTTCTCAGAGACAGACTTGTCTTCTAACAGAAGCGTGCTGTCATTTGTTGCCGCCAGGTCCTGGAGCAGCACTCAGACGGCCGCTGGAAAGGCCACATACAGGACAGCCAGCGGGGGACCGACAGGGTGGGCTTCTTCCCGCCTTCAGTGGTGGAGGTCCTCAGCAGGAGAGCAGGTAGACAAACATGTGGGGTGTGCATGAATAATGGTTGGGCATTTTGTAGATCTAATCCCAGTAAGGTTGAGTTCAACAGCTTTCATGAAGATGAAGTTTTCATGAATGTTTACGACTATTGTCATGAAGTGTCATTTGGTAAACAATGACACTTTCAGTGCAAAAGTGTCATTATCAGTTAATAATAACACTTTTAAAGCAAAAGTTTCAACTGTGTTTTATTCAGCTAATAATGACACTTTTAATGCAAAAGTGTCAAATGAGCATTATTCGGCGGTTCTGTGAAGGTCTCAACAACAAATATGTTTCCTCAACATAAACTCTGGAAAATTATTGAAAAATCTCAGACGACTTGTAGCAGCAAGTTATTCTATCTGTAAGGCCTCCAGTCATGTATATGCGAAATAACATTTGAGGTTTCATCCCGCTTGTAAATCAACTTGTTTGATCTAAGTGACTGAAAGCAACTGGAGCCCTGTGCTTGTTTTGCTGCCGTGACGCCACCGACATTCATAGGTTGAGAGGTCGAGCGACCGCAAGAGGCGCAGACGCACAGTTGCGTGTGCACGAGCCGAAGCGTTCCGACTCACACAGACACGCATTGATAGTATTACTGCTTGCCAGACTGCAAAGTGTCAGCTCAGCGCTAAAGCCCCCCGCAGTCTCTGTTTGGAGATTGTGTGTGCAGTCGCTGTGCATACATCGCTCACGCGTGAGGAGGGGAAGACATGAAAGTTCGACTCAGAAGAAGTCTTACAGGCACTTTAGAGCAAACTCAGCTGAGTGTGTGAGTCCTGTGATGTTGGCGGCATCAGCACAAAAAGAGTCAGCTAGCTCTGTCTCTTTCTGTGCAACTTGTGATCTTACATTCCTATTCAGTGGCTTGTTATGTAACCCCAGAGAGGATTTGTCCTGGTTTATGCTGTTGCATATTCATGAGGAAATATTCAAGCTCCAAACCTTTTCCCCCCCATCCACGCATTTCGTTCAGACCCGACTCCTGCACGGAACGTATTTTTTGCATGCCCACCTCAACCTGTACGTGTCTCCCCTGTTCCTAGGAGGCGCTCTCTCCCGCCAAGGCTCAATGCCATCCCAGAGACCACATCCTGCATCCAGACCTCCTCCCTCAGGCCCCGCCCTTCAGACAGATGACTCATACATCCTCGGCTATGACCCCGCAGGTACTCTCACATATCAATGAGGGAGAATAATCAATACATCACAAGGAGGGTTCAGTTTGTTGCATTTGCTGCTATTACACTGCTATGTAATATAACAATCTACCCAATAAAATTAATAGATATGTAGAATTAATGGGTATTAAGACTATTTGTTTGCCTTTAGTGGAGACAAAATTAAATGTGGTGCAGTGTGCTTTTTTGGTAATAATATATCTATATTTTATAATACCTGACTGCCACAAGAAAATAAACAGATACAAAGTGATAGTATGAAATACAAACACCTGGTGACCAACAAAAATAACAAAATAGGTAAACTGGTTGCTAACCTTTTGTGACATATTTTTGAATTTAGTTACATACACAAATTGCATAAAGTTGCTCAGCATATTGTAATTCCTTTCTCTCTGTTGGATTCAAATGTACTGTTTTTTTTTTAATCAAGGAACGGTGAGCATATTTTTTGACACTTTTTCTTTGTTTTCTAAAAATTCATTCCTTTAAAATAATGAAAGTCAATAAAAAGTTTTATTATACATATGACAAGATATTTCAAGCTTTCGAACTTAAAATACAGTATTTTATATCAGACCAATAAACAAAAAGGATTGTTATTACAATTGTTGAAAAAGCACATCCGTGTTCTGTATATCATATCCTCTCAATGAAAGGGTTTCCCCAGAGTTTTATAAGCCTGGCGGGCCACCGGTTTTTGTAACCACTGGTGATCTTTACTAGTCTACATGTTAAGAACTTGAGCAAATAACGTGACAAGTCACAAATAGAGGATCAACAACATTTGGACTCTTTAATTAGGATGAAATGCCTGAAACTGTTTTTTATATGTGTTTTTTAAGACTTTAGAAAAAGACTGGTGTTAAGTATTGCTATTAACACATAAGTATCTAGACATATTTTCACATTTTCTGTCAACTAACAAATTCTTAAGTCCAATGACTGCCCTGGTGCTCATACCACCAGGCTAAGCTAGTTTTCTGTGGGAAACCCTGCATTGCTGTAGGTGCTCTTTTTGCTTGAATTAACTGATTTCCATGTCCTGGATATATCTGAGGGTGGTGGTTTTAAACGCTCTGACTCCAGCTGCAGTTCACACACTGAAGACTCCTAACTCTTCACTTCACTTTGCTTCCTAGACCTCGCAAAACTTGTACACCTTCTTTGCATCACACTGTTTCCTTACACACAACTTTCCATTATTATTTGTACGTGCAGACCTCTGATGACAACCAGCTTTTTTAGCAATGAACTATTGAGACTTACTGTCCTTGTGGCAGATCAAGTAAGACCTTAAGTAAGACCACAGGAGGTCTTTCACGCATGGAAAGACCTCCTGCTCAGAGATTTAGTGGCCGAATTTTTCCGTGGGTAGGTTATTACATCTTCATAACACAACAAATAAATTTTTATTGGTCTGATGTAATGTTGCAATCCGCAGTGAAAATTAATTTGAGGTTTTATGAGCCGCATTCCACAATCATCAAATGAAATTTTTTTAACTTGAATACTGGAGCAAAAAGTGTTGAAATATGCATTTACAAGTATGGAACTGTAGGCTCTTTCCAGGTAAGTTTTCTCTAATTCCATTAAGTAAATCATATAATTAAAGACTATTTTTGAGTTGATTGTGATTAGATTATACCTGATTGCTCGAAAGGCAAAGGCAGGAGTAACCAGGACAACAAAAAGAAACAAAAACAAGCCAGATAAAGAGATGCCCCTTCATCATTTTGTCCTTTTCAAGTTTGGGCATTTTGGACCAAATTCTTTTTGGTTTATTTTAAACATACTTAGGCCACAATGAGTGTGAAAAGGTTTGTTATAGATATCATCAGAAAATAGTGTTTGATCAGTTTAAATTCACACTAAAAGTGACAGTTTTTACACCAATTTATGTTCACAATTAATTAAAACGGGGCACTTCTAGAAAATACAAAGTGATACAGGGTGGCTAAGTACACCAGTACAAAACAAAGACGTTACAAATGTAACACTAATGACAGAGACGCAAAAAAACGTCCAGAAACACAGTTCATAAACACACACACATTTATACACCGACATACACACAGATCGGTAGGCAACTTGAAATTAAGTGCCTGGCCAGAAACCTCGAACCTACAACTGTCCCACTGCAAGACAACTACTCTACCCAGTACCCACTGCTCCACTGTTTCCCTATAAAATGATATTAGATCTGCAAAAAACATCCAAGCCCTTTTTATTTTAAAGCATTTCCTTGCTTTTATGACCGGAGCTTTTTTCCATGTCTCTGTCCCTCGGTCTCCAGTCTCCTCCCTAACTCGGCCCTCCTGGTGACCAGTGGCAACTCTGTAGGTCCAGCTCCTCCCCCTGCAAGATGCAGGGAGTGCACGTAGCGTGTATCTAAAGTGTGTGTGTTTGTTAGGTGCTTCACCGGCCAGTCAGTTCTCAGCCCCAGCAACCCCCCTCAGGACATTTGGGTCCTAAGGAGCTCTCCCACTGGTAAGAGTGTGTGGCCCCCTAAGCACCTGTCAACACATTCCCATCTAACGCCTCAAGCTACCCAAGCTCCTAACCCGATGTGAACCTTCAGACATCCACCAGTCCCTCCATTTAACCAGACTTCTCTACCAGATTACTTCTGTGTGTAGCACTTTCAATCCCAGCGTCCTGGCCTAACATTAACCATCCCGCAAATCCCCGGCTCCCGTCTGTCCCAGTAATCCTCTAACCACGACCAGAATTGTCTTGCAGGAGAACGTAATGGTAAGTGGTCAGCAGGTGTTGTGTCTGATTTGTTTCCCAGGCTATTGATTGATTTGTTGCTGATGAACTAATACTTAAAAAATAATCTGGATTTTCGGATTAATAAGACCAGTTGCTAGAATTCGGTCTCCCATTGAAGGTCAATACATAGCGGGAACGGTTTGCATCTTGACTTGCTGAATCACTGTGTGCAGGTATCTACAGCGTAAAACCGTGTTGCCCTTGCAATGCTTTTATAGTATATGTTTAAAATTTCTCATAGCTCTCTAACTTTGAAGTGTGTTGAGGGTTTTTTTAACATGTGCTAACTTGAAACTTATGCTTCCTTTATTCATTACAAAGCATGCTTTAATATACATTTGAGATCAAGTTACTGAATTTGGAGGCGGATTCAGCTGTCTTCCTTGGTCCATCCATCGTTACCTGTACCACAGGGCATGATGGCACTGCCACTATGTTTGACAGCTGGTGTTCTTAAGTTTAAGAGCTTCACCTTGACTCCTCCATTTGCACTTCTTGTTCATCAGAGTCAAACAGTTCACTCTGCAGCTGCCCAGCTGGGTCGCCGCAAAATTCAAGTCAAGTTTAAGGTGCTGATTTTGGAACAGGGACTTATTTTCTGGTTACCATAATGATGTGGACAGCTACACTTGTGTTTGAACAGTTTGCAGCTCGTTGCAGGCTTTCGATTTCTGGATTATTCCTAAACATCTTAGAGGGTTTGTCGTCTTCCAGACGCTGGAACATTTGAATAACTTGGACTTACATATAATTGTTTGACCTAATGACCTTGGAATCTATAGATGATTAAAAATGAGTCCAGAGGTCTTTCTTATCTCTTGGAGGTCTGTAATCATTCTTCTTCAGATTTCATGGCTCCCCTTTATCACCACTTTTGATTTTTCAGCTTTCATCCACAGCATTTTCTTGCCAGCTGGATTAATTCATAAGAAACCCTCTCTCGGTTCGTCAGAGCTCACGTTTATTCCCCCAGCTTTTACTTTACACTTAGGTCATTTTGCTTTGTTGCATCGTCTTTCGTCAGGCGACAGGAACAGCGTTGGTAGCACAGGCAGTGTGGGCAGCAGCCGCAGCGCCGGCAGCGGCCAGAGCTCGGAGAGCGGCCGCAAGCAGAACGGGACTCACGTCCGCCACCACGCCGACGCTGGCAAGGTGAGGCGGAAACCTTACCGTCTTTCTTCTGCTACACAGTATTTAGAAGTGAGAAAACCAAAGTGGCCGAGGCGTTCAGTGACATCCTTGTGTGTGCAGGTGGCTCCCCCTGCAGGTGAAACTGGAGAGCAGGTCCACAGTACAGCAGCTGACCAAAGAAATGGTGAGTTGCACATTTGTTTTCCTCATCCCAGTTCTAGACATGGATTTAGACTTTGAATCTGAAAAATATTTTTTTCTCTCATTTTCTGAGGCGAAATGAACCCTTAACAACTCTCCCGAACAGTTTTGATTTTCCCCAGTGGTTTTGTTTTATTCTGAATTATTGGCGTCTCTATCAGTTTGATCCTCTTGTCAGACTCCCATTAAACAGATACAAAAAAAAAATCTCTCCTCGCTGGAGGTACAAATAAACTCCTTTTCTTGGAACAAAAGATGACATTGCAAACTTTAGTTCAGTTGTTGTGAAAACAATGCATATGTCTGAGTTACCAGATCAGAACCTTCGCTTCTGTACACAAAAAACTGAGCAGAAAGAAAAACACAGATCGAGACATAAACTCTGCCTGTCAACGTCTTACAGTGTTTTTTGATAAACTTATTACAAAACTACTGAAATCTATGTAACAGATGAATTTACAGAGTTAGTCTGTAAATTATACAGACAAATTTCTGATCTTTTGAAACGCATCTAAAAAATATCACATAAAAATAATCTCTTTCTTTGGCATTTGTGATGCATTCAAGGCCTTTGGTTTGTTCATTACTTTTAGAATAAACTGTGACATACTGTTTTTAGAAAAGCACTCTACTTTTGAAATCTCCAATAAAAACATTCCTCCTTGTCTCAATCGCAACAATGCAAGAACAAAAGCTTGGCAAACTCAACTGAAAAGAGTAGTTGGACCACGATGTAAGGCAAATGTGATGGTTAATGCTTTCAAATCTGCAGATAATATGATTGCAACACCTCCAGGATCTCTTGGGTTTTCTTCGGCTTCAGGAATGTGACCACAATACACAGGAGCGCGGTCAGCTGTTGTTACTGTCAGTCGGGCAGGAAATGAAACAGAGGGAATAAAGTCTTACCTCAGCTCACGTCTAAAACCTATAAAACCATCTTATTCTCTCAGCCTGCAAACTTTACATAACTCTCCGCAGAAAGACTGGAAAAAATCCTGTGCCATCACCAGAGTTCGATGGGTTGGAGTCAAGCGTTCAGGCGTTTCACTTTGAAGCCGGTGGGGAGGATTTCTGTCGACCGACGACTGAGAAGCCGGGAGAGAGAAGTGAGGGAGCAGGGAGATGAGGAGTGGGAGGGTGGGATCGGAGATAAGAGACAGGAGCTGAAAGCAGAGGGAGCAAAACACATCCGTCTGATGAAGGTGAAGGAGGGTAAAAGTGAAGGTGAGAATCAAGCAACAAAGTGAGTTTACAGAAATGGCTGTGCAGCAGAAGCAAGGATGAGGAGCCACACAGCAGGGGAGCTGCAGCTTCCTGTTCTCCTCAAGGGTAAGAAGTCAGATTTGGATTTAACGTGATCTCTGATTTCGTTATTCCTTTCTACTCAGGTTGTGCATGAGTGGCAACAGAAGTAACTGGTGTTAGATGGTCCTAGAGGACAATTAAAAATCAAAACAAAAGAGAAAAAAAAGCAAACACGATGGGTTTGTCTGTCTCTTTCATGCTTTCAAAAACTCATTTTTAGTTGGTTTTTGTGGAGAGTAAAAACTAAGGACATTTTGACTCAATCTAAAGGCCAATTATATGTTCTGTAGGTGCTGTTTACCGCCCTGTGTGGTCAGGGGCCCTGATGCCCATAGCAAAGCAAAGAAAACCACCCAAAAAGTAATAACCATCACTCATTACTGTAGGTCATCTGAGCTTCTCCTCTGATTAATTATCTTGTTGCTCTTTCTGGATCGATAGTTGTCATTCTACTTTTTTTTTTGTCATAAACTGAATAGTTTGTGAAGACGTTCAAAGCTTAGGGTGTTGTTTCATGCCCTAACTCTGCTCTGAACTTCTAACCAACTTCACCTCTGACCCTGTCTGCTCTTTTCCTTGGTCGCCATTGTGCTGTCGGTTCACTGATGCTCGCTAACACACCTCATACAAAACAGTTACATTCACACAAAGGTTAACTCATGGTGAGCTCTCCTTGTTGATTAGGTGACATCTGAAGACAGTTAACAAGAACACAGCATAGATAATGGCATATATTTAATCTGATTTTCATTTCTCTGGGAAGTAAAAATAGCTGCAGAAGAAGATCGCTGATTGGTTGCACCTGCAGAGCTTGACAAGCGCGCTCGCGGCTGCATTGGTGCTATTTGCTTTGGGAGTCAGACGGCGAAAAAAAAGCAGGCAAGTGCAAATATTGAGCTAAGCTCGGTGTTAGTGGATGCAGACCGCAGTCTTTTGTGAATGAAGAGTACAGTATAATGTTGGAAGAATAATTTATTTCAGGAACTTCACCACTAAATGAAACTCGTGCAGATTAATTGCACGCATATGGATATTTTAAAGACTTTATTTCAGCTAATTATGACAATTTTCCGCTTAGATGTAAAGAAAATATTGCATTTAAAGTTAGAAAATCACACCAGACCAATGAAAAACAAACAAACATGGGTCTAATTAAACATATGTCATTTCAAAAGGTACTTTTAATCTGACAATATGTGTCCTCTGAACACATATTGTACTTTGCGAACTCTGACTACGTATGTTGGGAATATTGCTGTGTTGTTAGTCCAAACTATAAACGTGGATCCCGGCAGGTGAGCTGACTAATTAAAAACAGAAAAAAACTGTGAAATGATTCAGCCTGAACGGGTTGACCTCAAACCACAACAAGAACGTGGCAATATTTGTCATCCCCCAGGATTGATGGTGTGTGTTTTGTAGGTGGTTCTCGCCGACAGGCCAACAGCACTCCTCAGAAAGGCTTCATCAGACCAGAACAGCTTCTGGAAGGCAAAGTGAGTTTTTTTATTTATTTATTTATTTTTTATATTTGACTCCTTTTACTGTGTATTTGTTAAAAAAAAGAAAAAGCAACAACAAAAAAAAGCACCAGAAACATTGCCTTTGTGCGCCATTAGGACTCTGAAGCCATCTACCAGTGGCTGTGTGAGTTCCAGTTGGAGCAGTACACGTCCAACTTCATCAGAGCGGGATACGATGTACCTACCATCAGCAGGATGACTCCTGAGGTGGGCTAACGTTTCAGTTTTATAGGTTACTGTCAACTTTTTCCTAACAGTAGTTACTGCTTTGGGGGGAAAAAAATGGATTCGTCAGGGTCCCTGGCGAGGTGCTGGAATTGAAATGAAACAAGATAAGTGCAAAAAGTGATGGACATGCTGAAGTGACTTGCGTCGCAACCCGTTCAGGGTTCTAGTGATGGAGGCTAACAACAGAATAACCTGAGCCACATGTAGCAAGACTTTTATGTTACCATTGCTACTTACAAATTCTATAATTTATTAATTTCTGCTGCATACATTCTTACTCGCTTTTCTTAAATCCGTACTTCATATCATGCAATCCATTTTTATTCCATTGCAATTGACTAGAAAACAAAAAATCAGTTAATGAATGTCAACTGAAGAGTAAAATGTCTGTAATTTACCAGGTACGCATTCTTTTCGCTGTAATATCCATCCACTTTTTTTTGCTTTTTCCAAAATTGTCACCTCAGGATCTCACTGCTATCGGCGTGACCAAGCCGGGCCACAGAAAGAAGATCTCATCAGAGATCAGCAAACTGAGCATCCCCGAGTGGCTGCCAGATTACATTCCTGTGAGAAACAAATCTATATTTAAAACCGCACAAATTCTTCACCGCTCTCGAAAAGACGCTGTATTTTCTTTATGATTCAGCGTAATAAATTGTAAGTCTTTTCCTCTCTTTCTGCTGCTCCGTCTGTGTGTTTGTTGATGTAGTCGGATTTGGGGGAGTGGCTAAGCGTGATTGGGCTGCCTCAGTACCAAAAGAGATTGTGTGACAATGGCTACGACTCCATTGCGATCGTTAAGGACATCACCTGGGAGGATCTACAAGAAATAGGAATCACCAAACTGGGTGAGAAAATGAATCCGATTTCTTTCATTTTTTTTCCGCCATGACTGAAAGAATCCTCCTTTTAGCTAAGCTCAGCATAAGATGAATCATGAATGTTGAAGGATATCTCTCTCTACCTCAGGTCATCAGAAGAAGCTAATGTTGGCTGTGAAACGGCTCTGTGACCTGCAGCGCTCTCGAAACCAGGTTGATAGGACAGGAGAGGGAACTCTCAAGAGAAAGCCACCAGCTGCGCTAGAGCTGGTGGCTATCGAACACACACCAACACACATCGTCCACTCTCATGGACACTCTGATGCCCCATCTGAAAACTGCTGCCCTTCCCCTCGCACCCCCAGGGCTCTCCTCTCTTTTCAGGACTGCGAGCTGAGTGCAGAGCTGCAGAGTGCTATGATGGGCAAGGTGGGGGGATTGGCGTCGGAGGCTTTCGGCATGAGAGGAGTGCCCCCCTCTGCTGTTATAGCCGCCATGTCTGTCAGTCAAGAAAGCATAAGCAGGCGCTCGCGGGGCTCAGGGAGGTCGGGAAATTCCCATGATCACCAAACGACACCGTGTTCTAGCAGAACGTCCAGTAGGCCTGAGGAGAAACTGGGTACTGGGGGAGCGGAGGAGGCCAAGAACAGCCAAAGCAGCCCCGGAGGAAGAAGTAAGCTGATATCTGCTGAGTTGTGGGATCATCAGAGCTGGGCTGGTGTCCCAGAGAAACACCCTTTCTCCACCGTAACACCTCCGCTAACCCCAAGCAAGATGCCCCACATTGCTTGCCCCGCAGTTCCACCCAAGTCCAAACACCCGCAGTCCCCCAACCGCCTCTATCAACCTCAGTACCACCCCCACCACCACCCTCCCTCTTCTCCATCATCGCCATCCCCACAACCCTCTCCCACAAAGAAGTACTTCAATCACCTGCAGGCTCAGGCAAGTGCTGTCAACGGCCCTCCACGAGTACTTTCTAAACCCATGCCTGGAGCCATCCCTGTGCTTAGAACCCCACCCACACAGGTCCAAGGAGACGACACTCGGAGAGGGTCACAAAATAAGCGCAGCCAAAGTTTGACTCGCTACGCTCTGTCCGACGGAGAGCCAGATGAAGACGATGACCTACCTCTTCCCTCTTCCTCAGCTTCTTCCGTAACCATGCCGCCCTATGCCACGCTGTCTCGCAGGCCGGGACGTGCCTCAGGACCCCCACGTCAAGTCAACCGCAGCCATTCTTTCGCTGTGCGCTCTCGGCACAAAGGTCCGCCTCCCCCGCCACCTAAGAGGATGAGCTCGGTGAGTGGCAGTCCCACAAGACAGCATAGCGAATCAGGCAGCAAGGCGGCAGAGCCAGAGTTGAAGGCCGGGGTAGAGACAGATAGTGCAGGCAGTGTGAGGAGCATCGCTGCCAAGCTAGAAGGCAGCAGCAGTTGCAGCAGCCCATCGAGGAGGATAGACATACCACCGACCTATGTTCACGTTTCACCTGTTCCCAGCCCAGTTTCCTCACCAATCTCTTATGGATTATCATCGCATATTATTCTACAGCATTCCAAACCTGTCCCTGCTTTGGGTTTGGGAGGCTTAAGGAGGATTGGAAGTGAGAGGACAGAAGGCGATACTGACAGACACAGAGGTGGAAGTACAGAGGAAACAATTGAAGAGAAACTGAAAGCAAGAAAAACTGAAAAACTGTCTAGGAGTTCTTCTGTGTCACCAAAGTCCAATTCTGGAAACCATCTACCTTTTGCTGAAGAAGGCAACCTTACTATCAAACAACGACCCAGGATAGCCATTGTTACCCAGGCAGACACAGACACCAGGTCTCCAACAGATGGTCCAGTTCAGACCCACAACAGCTTGGAGCCTCCAGAGTTCAACCTGAAAGAGTCTGACACTGTGAAAAGACGACACAAACCCAAAGACAAAGGTGCTTCCACGCCAGAAGAGGCTACTACTCCCAACCAAGAGGAAAACCACCTGCTGGTTACCAGTCCACACACACATGTTGAAGTCAGAGGTGTAAATAAAGGAGAGGCAGAGATACCAGGGAATGCTTTCCTTAGAGTTGGCTCTGTGGGCAAAGGTGCAAAACCTACTGTATCCTCAAAACCTTCCACTCCTCTAAGACAAACCCCTAACGGCAGTCTAGTGAGCCCTCAAAAAATGTATCCGACGACACGGGTCACCGCGCAAACAGCCATTCCAAATTTGACCAGCGTGCAGATACACACTGTCTCTCCGAAACTGAGCGGCAGCTTTCACATCCAGACGAGCTTGCAGAGCCCTAAGCCCGTTACGCATTTACAGACCGTTGGGTCCAAGCCGGAGAGTCCGCAGAAAGCCACTGTTCCCCCTGCATCAAGGCTCTCTCCATCCAACGCAACGCCCATTTCAGCAGGAGGTAACTGTTAAACGTCTGTCACATTTTTACAGCCATTTTGGATGTAACAGTAGAACGTCTTGTTTCCTCAGGAACAAATCTCCAGATAATCCAAAGCGTCTGTTTTCCTGCTCCATCCTCCATGACACTGGGTTCCTACTCCCCGAACTCGGCTTCGTCGGATCAGTCAAGGAAATCGGGGGGATCTCTGTCTGGTGTAGCAGGTCTGGAGGTTCTGGCCCAGAAGAGGCTGGAGCAAACCAGTACGTCACTCGAGGCTGCTCTCAAAGTGGTGGAAAATGAGCTCGCACATGGCAGCAGTGTGGACGGGTAAGAAGCTTCTGTACTGGATCGCAGCTAATGTGGGAGGACATAAACAGGCGCAAGGTTTTTCATCAAAATTTGATCTAAAGCTAATAAGACTCCATTTAGGTCTGCATCTGAACCAAGGTCCACAAATTTGGATACTTGGAGACTCAGCAATACGGACAAGCTCTTTCAAGCAGAACTTTCTTGAAAGAGCTTTTCTGAGCTCAGTCACAAACAATGTTGGTACAAGCACCAGTTCTTAGAGCTGCTACATTATGTTGACCTGCATTCCTGTCTTCAAAGGCCTTTTGTACACTACTTCTTGAGGCCTTGGGAGTTGAAACTCAGATCAAACTCCAGTTAGTAAAGTTCCAGTTGAAATCCTGAAAACCAGTCTGCAATAGCATCAATGACAAAATGTACATATCTGAAACTGGAAAATGTCTTTTTCAGGTAGAATTAAGCCCAATTATGCCCAATGTCTCGAAATGCATCATACCCAAGTTTCTAATGTCTTGTACTTTCTACGAAACAAATAAACAATTTCCACTTGTCTTAGCATCCTGCAGAACAAAAAAAAAAATTTTTATTTGATCTAATGTCACTTTGAAGTCAGGTAATGTTAGACAGTGTGACATTTTGTAGTATATCTTCCTGACAGTCTGCTGCCTGTTTCCTAGCTGCAGTGGCAGCAGCTCGGTGAAGGCAGCTGGGAACATTCTGGACGACATCGGCAACATGTTTGACGACCTGGCGGACCAGCTGGACGCCATGTTGGAGTGACGCCCCGGCCTACCTGAAACTCGGTACCTGTCCTGCACCTTGGACATACCGACTCCCCCTCACACCCTCTGGATGGATCAGTGAGGGGCACATCTGAGGATTTTCCAGCACAATATTGTCCTGTTTTTATTTTTTATTTTCCTTTTTATTTTTAAACCCAAGCACTTGGCCTCAGGACACACACCTGGGAATGTTCCTGGACGGACAACAAACAGCAGCATGAGAGATCAGCCATCTGCTCAGTGTGCGATGACTTGAGGAAAAAGCTGGTCCATCGTACGTGTAAATAGAGAAAAATCTGACGGTGGTGCTGTCGCCTCTCTTTATACTGACTATTTTAACCTAGAGTTATATTTATACTGGTAATTTTTTTTTTTTTTTACAATAACGACTGAATTAGTGTACATAGTTTATGTATATTTTGCAGCTTTGTGTCAGTAACGAGTTCGATGCATTGAAAGAAGCTCGTTTTAACACGTTTTTACCAAACTGCCGGTGAACAAATCACTGGACATCTCTGAACTGACAGCTGGGATCAGTCACAGCTCGCTTCAGGGCATCAAGACGAGAACGCGCTGTTAACCAGCGGCTTCCAAAAAAACCGGTAACACCCGTGTGTTACTTTTTCTTACATTTCAGCCGAGGTCAGTGTGTTTCTTGGCAGGCAGGGAATGTTCTGTGTTCAACGAAAGCAGCACACTGTGGGAGTCTGTGTACCTGTGGGTGCCTGGATTGTAACTAAATTATTCCAGTAGAGAAAAAAGTTTTGTTTTCTCATAAGTAAGGCGTTCAGTTGCATGTATTTTTCCCCGAGTCTTCTGATGGAGATGGTTTCCTCAAGCCGATGTGCTTCATGCTATTTCAGTCCCGCAAAATGAATTTCTCGCTTTGACGTTTTGAAGTTTTTGTCATGCCGCTGTTTACATTCCAGCCAGCATGTGGCGCTGCAGCTGCAGACACCGTAGAGTTGGGGTAGTTGTTAACAAAATGTCAGCGAGAGCAGAATAACTCTTTGCATTCAAAATGATTAGCTTCATTTATTGAAGCTAATCATTTTCATCAAACATTTCAGGTCGGAGCTTTCTGGTGTGTTTGCAGATCAGAAAGGCAGATTAATGAGTATTTATTTTCATTTTTGTACCATATTTCTTTTTAGTTTGTACTCAGCAAAGTTTTGTGGTTCTATATAGTTAAGCATTTTCATATATGGATATGAATTTGTCTTCAGTTTCTCCGTCTGCTGACAAAAGATTCTCAGTTTTGTTTTTGCTCCATTATTATGGCAAATGTCCCGATTATCACCAAATTTTACCTGGATTTATAGAAGACATTGTGTCAGGAGGACGCTTTGTTCCTGGCAATGTTCTTTATGCAGCCTCTGGGACTAAAGGTTCCCAGCAGTGGCTTGGTTTAGCGTTTAGCGAAGACTGCTGTTCACAAGGATCTGCACTGGTGGCAAAATCATTTTGACAATCTTGGGTGTCCTTAATTCTTCACCATTACAAAACATTTCATTTAAAAAATCCTGGTGAAAACTATTTTTTTCCCCGCAGGTGTATCACTGAAAGATGCATCTTTGTATTTTCTAAAAAAACAAACAAAAAAAGTCATCAGAAGCTGCAACGTTTGCAGAAAAGTGGATTTGAAAACCCCGACTTTGCAATCCATTTGAACAATTTGGGGGGAGGCTCTTTAAAGCCTAAATGTTTGGCAATAAAATGCAATAATTTTATTATATTTATAAGAACTTCTCCCACTTGTGGAGATTTCATTATTGTAATCCAGAGACTGACAGGAACGTTTTTGCACTGTTTTGATTTCTCTGTTTCCTGCTGAATTCTGTATCATCCTGGAGAGAAATGAGACCAATAGTTGCATCTTGTTGTAGTCCACCTAGAAATAGTATCTCTTTAAAAAAAAAGTTAATAAAAAATATATTGAGATTTGTTTTTGTGTTTAATCTCAGGTTTTCTAAAACAGATTTTCCAGTTGTTTTTTTGGACATTTCTGGAGTGAAACGTAAGGAACCACTGACTGATCTACATCACAACACAGACTCAACTCTGTTTGATCCAAATGCTGTATTTTGCTTATCATTACATTTTACAGCACAGAAGATACTTTTTTTTTTTTTTTAATAGGACCAGCAGTTGCAGCTTTAAAAATGGAACCGATTTTACCAGAATCAACAGAATAAGCAGGAACATTTCAGACTTTTACCTCAACAGTTTGGCCAAAAGATCCTTTTAATCCCATCATTCATGTATGTACACGGACAACAAAAACAATCAAGTCATTAAAATATGAAGGTCCCAGCAGTCACCGACTGGAAGGAAATGTATGTTGATTCGGACACTTAAAATTATTTTCCTCGCTCTCCTCATGAGGAACCGAACGCGACTACTTCTACTCTTCATAAAATATGTACATTCATTCTTGTGTGAGAAGCGGGCTCTCCAGCCATCATTAAAACACAGAAAGGAAGAAACAAAAGTGGCAAATTTCTAAATTAAAACGATAAAATCATGACATAATACTGTTAAAACGTGGGTTTAAGATGGTTTGCGTCTGTCAAAGGCGTGCAGAACAAGAGGCTGATTGTCTCTGGATTCTCCACCGGAGGGCAGCAGAGAGCCCTCCCGTGGAGTTTATAAGTTGCTGAACAGCTCGTTCCTCTTGCTCCAGTCCATTGCCGGGGCTTTCTTGGCGGCTCGCTTCTGGTGGGCTCGTTCTTTGGCTTGGGCCAGAGATATGTTCAGGCCCACGGCGTCACCCGACGGGGACGGCTCGGGTTCTGGGGTCCTCTCGCCCTGTGCACAGGAATTTAAACAAAACTGAGCGCTTGCTCTGGTGTGGAGATGCGGTTATTACCTTGGAGGTTTCCGGCGAATCCTACCCGTGGCGGGGATGAGCTGCGGTCTGCTGCTGGCAGGGAGGCGTTGGACGAAGCACTGGAAGCCTGGGAGCTCACAGACAGTTTGGACTTCAGCTGGGAAGGAACCTGCCAACCACAAGATCACATTTGAATCGGCGAAATCTAAAGAAGCCTCAACGCCTGCAGGAGATAGCGGCTAGGCGAGTTCATATTTGAACGTTTGCATGCTCAAAACCTTCACTGCAAATGAACTGGAAATGGTCGAGGAATCATAATTTGTCCACGTGGAACCGATTTTATCAGAATCAACAGAAAAAGCAACGTTTGTGACGAGCACCACATGTTGATCGCTGTTGTCCAGCAGGGGGCAGTAAAGATCCGCAAAACCTCTAAAACCCCCATGTTTAATCACCTTCTAATGACTGACTAATTAAAGCACATTGTGCTGCTCCTGTGCTGCCCTGCAGAACCAGAACCACAATTTCCAAGTTAGACGCAGCTGCTCTCCTATAAATAACCTGGAGCTCACGTTGGTGGGCAAACACTGCTGTTTGCTGCGCAACACAGCAGCAGCGCTGAATCCGAAAGTATCTGTGCACACAGAGCTCGGCTCCTGGCCTCTGCAGATGTAAACGTATGCGAGTCGTATGGTGATAAACACTGGGGTGGTGGGGGTTGGTGGGAGAGGTCAAAGGTGACTGCACGGCTGCGTTATGTAACGGAGTTGCTGCTGAATGAGGGATTGTTTTGCTGCAGAAAGTAGCTGCATGTAAGAGAGTTGTGAGCGGCCTCCGCTACTCGCCCCCATTAGCATAATCCTCAAGTTAAAGCCGGCACAATCCCATGATCCTCCAGGACACGGAGAGAGCCGGGGGGACGGGGGGGACGGGGGGGGGGGGACAGAGCGGTGAGCTGCTGTTGCCATGGTGAGAGGTCATCTACGGTGTCAGCAGAGAAGCCAATCAGTTGCTCAGTTGCTCCTGCCTCGTTTGTGTGACGCGAGAAGCTTCCACACTGCCTCCATCCTCTAACACGCGCCGACCCCTCACCCTGACGGGGACGCTGTCCAGGACGTCTCATCTGCTCCCAGGATCACCAGGGGTCAGGCAGCATTTCCCACCACTATCTGTAGGAATGTCCACAAAGCCGCCTGGGAGACAGTATTTACCCCCTTGAAGAACTTTGGTTGTGTTTTTTTTGTTGTTGTTTCTTTTTTTTTTAAATCAGGGGTATCAAACCCGTTTTAATTTCTGGCTACATCGAGATTGTGAACGTGCTCAAAGGAACATATTAGGAACGATTAATTGGACTAATTGTGAGTAATATTGCAATTGATTAATCATTAACTGGGGAAAGAGGAGAAAAACAATGCAATTTGCTGAAAGAACAACAAAGTCAGAGCAGTAATTCTACCAAAACTGCACAAAAACATATTCATATTGAATATTGTACTCCTCTAGTTAAGCATCTGCAAAAGGTGCCGATTTTTAAATTTGATTAATCGATTAATTATCAGATCGGCTTGATAGCTGAAATAATTTAGTTGCAGCCCAAAAATGTAGTAATAAAAGTAACTAATAATAACAGAAATGTTTTAAGATCGATTCTAAATATCAGATATTTAATACTGAAGTAATTCGGCTGTATACACATAAAAACTTTGGGAGGCTTTCGCTTGACACGCGTGATTTAAATGTTTCAGATCATCAAAACTATTTCAGATCACACAAGGATCACCTGAACAAATTGCAAGATTTCCCCTGATTGGTTCGAGGAAAAGTCCAGACTTAAATCAAACTGACAAGAACAAAATGACAGAAACAAACACCTCCCCCTTCCCGCCCCCACTCTGTGTGCGTTTCATTCACCTCCTCGTCTGATCCTCTCTCTGACGCCGGCTCAGGAAGCGGTCCTGCAGAGAGACAGAGGTTATAAAATGTTCCGTTAGTCGTCTTTAACTCCTCAGGACGCTGCGGCGTGGCGTGGCGTGGCGTGGCGTGGGCTGGTCTTACCGGTGACGTGCTCCTCGCCGGGCTGGACGTTGCACTTCTTGAAGAACTCCTCGGCCTCGGCGTCCACCACCAGCAGGGTGGTCTCGTCGCCGTTGGCTTTGATGGCCGCCACCACCTCAGAGTGCTGCATGCCGATCACAGACACGCCGTTCACCTGATGGGAGGGGAGGGAGGAACGCACGGGACCGTTAGCTAAAATCATTAAAATTATCGTTAAAGATTTTAGCCGCAGATTTCAAGTGTTGGTCAACCGATCTGGCTGGATCTCAACTTTTGGACTTTTCTCCCCTCAATCACTTTGTCTTCTGTCTTAAAGCAGCGTTCCAATTATGTGTCTGTGTGTGATGATGTTGCCCAGGACACGACACACACACCCACCCACACACCCACACACACACATACGTGTTTCCGTCGATCACGGGACTACTACTTTTTCATCGAATTCGGGGACTAGCCTTTCTAGTGGTTCTAAAAATCCAGAAAAATATTTTACACTATTAATAGCTGTATTAACCTGTACACGGCTTGAAATAACTCAATTTCAAAAGTAGATTCATCAACTTTGTCTGGGCCATGACACAGGAGGACTAATTAACTTCCAAAAAAAGCTTGTTTGACGAAGACCAGATTAAAATATTATTTGCATAAGTTACACATACAACTTACCTAGTGGGGACCTTTGTTCAATTTCCTGAAATGTTACATCTGCCTTTTTACATTTTAACAGAATGAGCTATAACTTATCACTAACATCAGAAAATTATTACATAAAAACAAATAATTGCAAAACGCCTTTTTAATTAACTATAGGCAAAAAGATGCTCAGTGGCTGTAAAAAAACCCTAAATAATCTTATCTTAAATGTATTAAAGATGAACCTCCACTTCAGGTTTTTCAAATAAACAAAACAATGAAAAGACAAACAGTGCTTCTTCTAACTTAACACTGAAGCAGTATGTAAAAAACACATTGAACAAATATTTGGAACTTAAATTGAAAAAATAAAAATAAAAAACTACATATATAAAACGCCTATTTAATTACGCTGAAGCTTCTTCCTGTTAGTTGTAATGCGGTTATGAATGAAAAATAGAATCCCCCATCCCTTAATCTTCATCTGCCTTCACAAATTCTCTATCAGATTCAAGTGTGGAGAGGCTGACCTGCTCCAAAACGCTCCGTCCTCTTCCTCTACTTGTTATCTCCAGACAGTATCTGGTGTGATGGTCCATTCACACAGACGTCCATTTTGGACTGATACTAAAACTAGCGGTTTGAGTCTAATTTTATGTATGATTATTATTTATCCCTATTATCTTGGTAGATGCATTCCCATGAAAATATGTAAATGTGACTTCTTCCCCCACATACAGCAACACTGTGGAGGCCAGTTGGTTGAATTTCTGTAATGAATGGCCAACAATAAACAGCACAGTGAGCCTCCCTACTGGTCACTAGTTCTGGGTACTTCAATAAAACTCCACGTTAGTCCTAGAACACAACCACCACTACTGTTCAGAAAAGAACTGGACTTGATGACTGACCACAGTAGAGTGCTGAACAGACTGTGTGGAATCCTCCTTTTAAAAGCAACCAGTAGGGGGCGCCAAAAACCACTCATTACAGGACAACTATGAAACCCATTTTAGCAGAATTTAACCTGAACCATTTCAACTATATAACATAAAGATTTGTAAATGTACAATTTTTAAATTCTCTTAAGCAGTTAGCATTTTCAGGTCTGTGTGCAAGTTAATTTCCATTCTAATATCTGCTCCTTCACCATTTTAATGATCTCTGTTTACTGTGCTCTCAGCAGTTCTGGCTTCTGGCTCACCTGTGAGCCTTCAATCTTCAAAATGTTGCCAACTTAATGCCGAGGATTGCTCACCTCCTCCAGGTCTCATTCATTGTTTTTAGCTGCACAGGCCGGATCATTCTCTATCTACGTCATTAGTGCAACTGTGTGGCATTTTTCAAACAGCAGGTTGAATTAACATGTTCGGTTCCAGTGCTCTCTATGACATCAGCGGTTATGACATCACTGTGATACAAC